TTGAGTGCGACCCCCCCTTATAAATTAAAAACACTTTTTTATATATTTAACACCATTATAAATGCTGAAGGCAAAGCAGGGTTTGGGTTGGAGGCGGACAGCTCGCGACCCCCTGAGGGGTCCCGACCTCCAGTTTGAGAACCCCTGGAACAGGTGTACAGCCATGCTGCTTCCGTGATATTTTCTGTTAGTAGGTTCAAGAACTTTGAAGTATTCGTTTTCCAGTCTCTCAACTTCCTGCTAATTTGCCTGAGACATACAGCACAGCAAAATCAAAGACATCGGTCTTGGGGCAATGGAGAACTACACTCACTACTCGATACTCCCAACATCCCCACCTATATGGATAAAAATATGGGGGAGGAATTTTGACTGCCAAAACATGACAGTTGGCGGAAAAGAGATCGATGTTCACTGCCAAAGGAGTTTGGCACCAAACACTGTGACCGTCAGTCTCTCAATGGGGAGACGCCCTGGAAAAGCGTAAATCTGATTGCAATGGCCGCGCCTAGCTAGCGTTATCAGTATAACAGAGATAAGTAAAGCACCTTAGGCTATTTTTTAAAAAAGGAATGTTGAAGAACCATTCCTACAGCATCTACTTGCCTAATCTAGATACCCTCAGTTCTAGGGTCTCTCTGGGTTCAAGCCTTTTTATCTTCCTCTGCATTTGTTTATTCTCCCGTTTCAGGTTCTGAGCCACAGAGGGGTTCCTTCTTGATTTTAGCTAAGTGTACTTTGTGACACATTCAGAGCTGCTGCATAATAATTTATGACTGTTTGAGTATCCTGATTTACTGCAACAGGAGACTTTCTGAAAAAACCGGCAGGATGGGAAAGAATTGCTCAAGATAAGCCACCTCTTCGCAAACACTTGAGGGTGGTAAAGGAACAATGCCAGGATTATTATCTTTGAAGATTTTGCCTCTTCTCCAGCTAGCCTACAAAACTAGTATTAATCACGACAGGAAAAGGCCTGAGAACACATGAGATCAAAAGAACTCTGGCAGGTTTAAAAAGGAATTCTCTCTCAAGAGGCAAGCAGTTGTTCAGGGAAACCCAACTGGGACGACACCCCATTAAGGGTGTTTGAAGAAGCTAGGAGGCCTAAGTTACTGTCAGGGAAGGGTATGCATTTAGCTAAGCTAGACATGCATGCAGACTATTTTAAAATCCTTTTTGTCTAAATGTTCTGGGAAATGTTAAAATAAACAATTATTTGGTTCTATGAAGCCTGTCTAATCATTGTATACCATTGGTCACAGTCTCCCAAAATGAAGAACCACAGGTTACCCAAATTCAGTCAGACCTGCTGGATACGCAGGATACTGTAGCCTAGGGCCCAGTCTAAGAGTAGAAGAATTGCAGAATTCCACCCTGGGATAGGTAAAGGCATGAGACTTGACACCTGAAGGGGTTCACTGAAAGAGAACAGAAGGGGGAAACAGGTGCAGCTAGCTCTAACCAGGACATACTATACTAATACCAATATATTTGCACAAAATTCTTGGCAATGGATCAAAATATAGTCGTTTCATGTTAACTTCTCGTTACTATATATGTTAAGCTCGTCAGCATTCCTTTTTTAGCGAAGAAATATACTGATAAACCTGTTTAACATCGCTATTGTGTAAAAAAAATAATCTCAAAGCATACATGTGATATCATCTCATGATTGTAGGATTATATCCATGGATAAGGATACTTTCAGGTATGGAGACAAATGGACAAAGGAGGGAGTTAGAATTTAAATTTTTATTCCTGTATGACTAAATTAAGTTAAAAACAAGGCTGTAAAAGTTGCTAGCAAGGTGCTTTTAAGGACTCAATTTTGACACCAATTGTTATGTAGTCATCAAAGTCTCCTGCCTCCTTTTCATGCTCCATAAAATCTATCGTTGCCATTTATTCTATATATAAAGATGTATTCAAGCCAAAGATTACATCTTCCATCATTATTGATTCTGTACTCTTTGGCATTTCCCCACAGTAAGTTCAAGGAGAAGGACCACCGTGCAACATAACATAAGGTGTTCATCCCTTCTCTTTACAGAGGTGCCCGCAACAAGCCCCACACTCTTGGGAAAAGTGGGCCTCTGGTACCCAAGCTCTGAATCTTCAGACCAGTCAATTATACACCCCAACCCCTGCAAAACTACACACAGGGTGAGGGAAGCACCAAGAAACAGCATGCTCTGAGCTCGCTCTGTTTTCAGTGGACAAAAGTAACTACTGGGCAGCTGGGGCCACTCACCCTTCTACACCCTCAGAAACCTACATGAGAACAAGCTATGTGGGGGGAGGGTTAAGGTGAAAAATGGTTACAAGTGACACTGCTCTCAAAGATTCGGGGGCCGGGGAGAAGGGGGCACACTTATCCCAAGAACTGTACGGAATAAGTATGGGCAATCATGTTAGACAACCACTTTCGCTACAGTAAAACAAACACTTTAGGTTTTCTTTGGCACAGCATCAGTCTTACTATTAAACGATTTCTTGCTTCAATCCGATTGTAACATTCAACTTAAGGAAGTAACCCAAGAGTATTCTGCAAGAAACTTTATTAAGACTAAATAAAACAACACTTATTAGGAACAATATTTTTTACTTAGGTGCAATACAAGGATCTCTCTACATAAGAGAGATGTTCCTTGGTGGTGAACTATTTACTATCATCTTCCTTCCTTCCTTCCTTCCTTCCCCACTCTCTACCACCTTCCTCCACACACAGTTCACAGAGATCTAGTCAGAAATTAGAAATTAAGAACATGTGTAGGGGCAATTTAAAAATATATGAAGTATACAAATGACCGTTAAAGAGTCATTCTGAGCCCAGTTTTTAATGTTCATACTAATTGGGTTGTCTAATCTGTGAGGTTGATGCCAGTTAAGTCAACCGTTCCCCTACTACTCTGTTCTTAGAAAGTGTATGCTTTTTTCTCATGGAGGAAAAAGACTTCTATAATCCAAGATATATTTTAAGTCTCAAACTCTAAAGCCAGAAATTAGCATCTTACCTTTGTTGTCCTTCTCAAGCTTCGTAAAATGTTCCTTCTCCTTGGATCTTCTCCATCTGCACTTTCATACGGAATAACAGCATTATCCCCCTTATATCCTTGGGATGTCTGGTCTTCTTCTTTCTTCCTAATGGGCCCCAACTCATCATCGCTTCCTACACTGAAACTGGTTCTGTAACTGGCAAATCTCCCAAGTCTTGCACATCTTGTCCGATACAACACAGGTTTACTAACAATAGACACCTTTCGACCACGTTCCAGAGAGCTCGTGTCCATTTCACTGTCTGAACCATTACCACTGCCATTAGACTGAGTTTTGTTAATATTACGAATGGTGATGATTTTGCCTTGGGTGCTGTCATGAGGCACAGAGTATATATTTTCCTCCTCATTCCTTGGTTTGACCACAGCATCCATAGGTTCTGCATAATCAGAAGGGTCAAAACCATCTGTAGGCAGCCAACTACTAGATGACACAGACTTCCTCTGTCCATCTCTATGCCCTTGTTCCAAATAAGGCAGATCCCCCTTTGTAATGTCAAAGTGTACAGGGGGCTTTGGTTTCACTGGAGGAGGTACTTTGTTGTTCAGCTTGCTTTCGAAAGTGCTCATAACAGAAAAGACAGACAGACCATCATTCCCCTCCAGCAGTTCCATTGACAGTTTAGAATGATCTTTGGGCAAAGTGGGCATGGATGTGTCCTCTCTAAATGGGCTGTAAGATGGTGGCTCAGTGTCTTCTTCTGAATCGTGAAGGTTTGAATTACAATGAGGTGAGCCAGCCCGAGGTGAATTAAACACTTCTTCCGTCGTGCTGCATGCTTCAGCAGCATTATCATACATATGAGTGGCTTCAATTATATTTTTTTTCTCCACCACATCTTTAAAGAATGAGTGAAAGATCTCGAGTTTATGTTGAGGCGGGCTACAGGATATTGTCGTAAACTTTCCATCAATTTCTTGGGCAATCTCCTGTCCCTCAGTCAGCTGTTCTCGACTTAAGTCATTGTCTAAAATGTCTATTGAGCCATCTGTGAGTGCCACAATTTGAATAGGGATAATATCCTGCACTTCACAAAGAAAGGCACGTAACATAGCCAAGGACGCCTTACGTTTTGCTGAAAAAAACACAATGTACCCATGGACTAACCGGCTTTTCCTAATGCTGAATGAGGAATGGTATGAAAGGATGGACAGTTCTATCCGTCTTTTGTGTGATCCTATTGGTAGTTCAAGTAGAACTGAGTTACTACTGCCACACTGGGAAGGTCTGTAGGTTTGGGACTGAAGGATAGGTAGAAGGATGTCATCTGCATTAAAAGGATCTCCACACAACAAACACATAACAATTCGAAGGTCAACATCTGCTAAATCTTTGATGCTAGATGTAGAACTTACAAGATTTAAGTTACGCTTCGAGTCCAGTAATCCTTTCAAAACTTGACTGATTTGCTTTTCATTAATGTTACGTCCATATCCAATGCCAGCAGAAGCGGGGTCAAGAAAGACACACTGTAGTTTACTGGCGATCTGTTGACCTTGCTGTATTAAGCTATGCAGTGTTTCTCCACTGGTGTCCCCTCTCTTGTTAACCAGTATTAGTGTCAGAGGAAGATGAACCAAGTGATTGTCCCTTCTGCCAAGGGTGGACTCTCTACTCTTTTCAATACTTTCCACAACGTAAGATAGAGATTCCTTCGAATTATAAAGGCAGAGACAACCGTGTGGCTGAAATGTTGGTGTCTGAAAAGAATTAACAGGAAGTCGGACATTACCCTCAATTGGTCTCAAGGAAAGTTCATACATTTTACCATCTATCACATACTTGTCATCATTTGTACACAGAGCTCGAATCTCATTTGCTAGTTCACGTGCGAGGCCATCTTTGCCAAGAATAACTAGATTGATCCTATCTATATTGGAATCAGAAAGCAAGTTTTTCTGATTGCGCTCGGATTGTCTTATAAACTTGGAACTGATCAAGTGCTCGATTTTAGAGTCTATACAAACTGGGCAGCTAGGACAAGTTTCCTTAGTTGGGTGATACACAAAATGAATGTGCTTCAAAATAAGGGCGTCTCGCTCCGCTTGCAGCTTTTGTAAAGCTTTAAATCTTTGCTCTTCACCTAAAACCTCTTGAATGACCCCCATTTTCTCTTTGCTAGGTTTAGCATCCAGCTCCAGCTCATAAAACAATTCTGAATATTCCAGAAGCAGTTCCTGAAACTCCTCCTTTGCCTTTTCTATAATTTGTTTTTGGTGTTTGCCGTAGATATCCATATAGACAGATTCCTCCAGCCACATGTAAAACTCCTCATTCATAATAAAACTACGAGCCTCTTCCCAGGGTTTTCCAGGTGTTATGAAAGGGGAAGTCTCCAGATTTTCTTTGAAAGCCCTTCTCATTTCTGCTCTTTTCCTCTCATTTCTCAGCTTTTCTAAGTGAGCTTCATAAAGTTGCTCTGCAGGCAAAGTCTCCATCAGGTCAAAAGGAATGCATTCATTTTCCATGTTGTCTATATGGCTAGTAGCATCCCAAGGGGTCTCATCAAGAACAACAAACCATTTTAAGAAATCTGGCTTAGTCTCCAATAACTTCTCTACTTTTATGCAGCTCAGGTGATCTATTTCATCCAGATTAGGAATAAGAGCATCAAATGCTAGAGGAAGAGCAGCAAGATACATCTTCCTTCTGCGCTCAATATGCTCTTGCTTGAGGCGATGGACATGTTGTAGGAACAACTTCTTGGCTTTCTGTGTTCCTTCCAAATACACGTAGTCCCGATATTCTGGAGAGGACTGCATCTTCCGGCTGACATTCGACCATGTTTCATTGTGGTTTTTGACAATGCGGCTAACCAGCCATTCATACTTATCTTTTGAAGCAGCTATCTGTTGGCTCTGCTGTTTCAAAGCTTCAAAGTAGGGGATAATTTTAGTCTTCCCCCTACTTTTATCAATTAGCTGCACTAAAGTGCTGAAAGCCAGGTCAACATTCACATTGGATCTAGCAGATGTCTCCACAACCTGGAGATTCTTTTTGCTTAAGGCAAAAGTATGTGCATCTCGAATGTACCGCTCCACTCCTTCATCACACTTCGTCAGGACCACCACAATGGGCTTTTTTGTTTTTGCTAGTTGATTGTAAAGATTTGAAATAAACTTAAGTTGATCATCAAAATTCCTGTTCATACCTCTACTAACATCGATGCAGAGAAGAAAGCCATCAATCAGCAGCTTCCCATCTGGCATTTGTTTTTGTTCAAAGTCCTGTTCCAGCCCCAGCTGATCAGTGCAAAAGTACATGAGCTTTTCAGCTGATGCAAGTTTGGTTGCAGCTGCCCTTTTGATATAGGGCTGCAGGGCCGTGCTACGATGTGGCTGAAAAGTCTGGTCGTCAATAAATTCAGTCTGTTCCACAATATGCATTTTACAGTCCACGCAATCCTCCAGGGGACGCCCAACTTCCCCCCAGTACAGAAAGTGATCATTATTGACAACCCTTCCTCCAAAGTCACTGGTGCTGAGAACGGAAGTGTGGTCCAAATGAAAGTCATCTGCACTAGGCCGCACAAACCGATTGCAGAGGCAAGACTTCCCAATGCCACACTGCCCCTTCTCCTTCTCCGTCCCGGACAATCCCACCACATTAATGTTGTAGGTGGGAGTGCGAGCATCTTGCTTTCTTGCCATCATCATCATCCACACATCCTGCCACAGTCAACTGCTTCCGAGAGGATTAGTGTTTCCAGTACTCCGTGCAAGTTCAAAGCTTGCTGGAGGAGGGGTGACAGTTATCAATCCAGGCGGACTGCCAGGGCAATGAAGTTTGCTGTTCCCATACCGCATCCACCAGCAGCAGCTCAGTTCTCACTGAGTCTCATAATTGGATAGCCTGCATTTCCCCCTAGGAAAAAGAAAAAGAATAAATCAGTATTACAGCTCTGAAATTATAGTACGAATAGAACTGAACTCAAGAAAGACTCAGTCAGTACAGTTTAATACATTGCATTTAATCACAAACACAAATGGCAACTAGTTGTAAACTGTTCCTTAAAATATTTTATCAATGCAGTGTCTCAATCTTATTATTCTGACTTTCACATTCATTTGCCATCTCCCCGAAGTCCCACTGCTTAGCTGTATATGTTTGGTCACCCAAACAAATGGGAATACTAGGCTAGGAGAGGTACTCTGACCATGCTACCACCTCAACCATGATTTTGTAATCAGTTAGAAGCAGATCACCTCACCCAGTTACAAGTTACAGTTCAGTTTGCGTCCAGGAAGTAATTTTTCTTTCATCACATTTATGTTTGTGTATCTGCATCTACCATGTGCCTAAATCAAGTTTGTAACAGTGCACTAGACAGTTCTCCTTCTGGTCTCAACTGGGATTTGAGTGCCTGGAGAACATGCACAAAGATAAGCATCAGAGGCAACCACACCAGCTGGCAGGAGGGAAGACCACCCAAACCAGGTACACAGACACAGGTGAGGGTCCTGCTCCCAGTTCAAAAAGCTGTGACAGACTGATTACAGGATAACATGTGCCAGCCCAGGCCTCTGGCAAGGACAAAACATTTAACTTCCACGGTTACTAACCACAGGCTAGCCTAGCCACGATGGACACTACTTACCCAGCCATCATTATAACGGCCATATCTTGTGGTGTGTTGGCACAAACCACAAGCCAGCCATGTCACTAAAGGTTACAAACTCAGTTAAAAGTTGTAGTTTGCACAGGGCCTTAGGGTGAGGGCTGGAGAAGGGAGCAACCCGCCCTAGAAAGCCTGGGAGTAAGTACTCCGCAGGAAAAATAAGTCAGCCTGACAGAGACTTGAAGGGGAGAAATAAGAGTCAGTTCTGGAGACAGGAGAAAGCCCATCCACCCCCAAGGGAAGGAGAGGAGAGGGAAGGAGACGAAACGCTGCATATGTATTCCTGTTTAACATATTGAAAATAATTCCTAGAGCAGCAGAATGTAAAGTCTTCTGTTTGCCTTCCAGCTAAGATCAAGTATGGTACTAGTCTAATATCCGATGTGTCTTCTACCAGGAGGATTATCTCCTGCACTTGCAGGGGAACAGACTCAATCTAACAGGATCGTAGTAGTTCAGAGAGTGAAAAGATCTAAGTAAACCCCATAAAAAGGAATATAATTTCCATATACTTAACCAAGATTTATATACTAAAACAAGGAAGTCCTCTTAAACTAATGCCTAATGAAGGAATGGTTCCAATTATACTATTTTTCAAGATGGTGCTATGTTTAAATAGCAGAAGTTGGAGAGGGGAGGTTGCTTAAAAGGAAAATCTCAGAATGATGTTGATGTGGTAAGCTTTTTAAAACGAGACAGTAATTAACTGGTCTACTGGTAACACTGTTGGTCTTCACAGTAACTCTGTCTGTTGCTAAGCATTGAATATGCAGCTAGTATAAAATATTTTCTTTGCTTTGATGTCTGGATAATGCAGTTTTACAAGTTCTTCAGTTGGGCTGAATTACACAATAGACGAAGGCTGCGGTAAATTTGAAATGGGTCTTGTGCGTTTGCGTTTGAGAAGGCAATCTTAACCCTTGATCTTAAGCACGTTCAACTTCTTTAAAAGGTGCTTAAAATTAGCTGAGTCACCAGGCTCTATTATCTAAAACCCACAAAAGCAATGACGGTACACCATGGTAGTCAGGTACCAGGAGTGACGACAGGATCCTTACAGTCCAAATCTGGAGATTTTCTCCTTAGTATCTTTAGCTCCTCAAAGACCAGACACGGTTGAGGGATGAAGATCTCTATATTTGTAAGTACCGTACTTCACTCTTAAAGACGAGAGTCCATAGGTGAAAGGGCAAGTTGGGGCTAGTGTGTGATGTAAGCTCTTCTGCTGAGCTGCTGTTCTGTCCAATATTTTTTTTTATTATTCTTTTGAACAGCTACTCTTAACATTAAATTTAAAGAACTACTTATACCTCCTGGAAAGCTCAGCATATTAATGGTTCAGAAAAATTTTGCTTGAATGTTATTTTCAGGGGGGAAGGGGGCTATCCTCTCATCTATTAATGAGAAAATGTGCATGTAAAGAGCCTCTCTAGGAGCTTAGCTGCTACACCTGCTTATTTCCCAGTCCTTGCCAATCTTCTGACATTTCCACCAATTAATGTCTCTGAAAATATCAGCTTCAGGTACGGAACAAATCTGGCTCAGCCAGTTACCTAACAAAGATCCCAAGTTATGCCAGTTTATCTAAAGGTGTGTTTTTAACCTGTGTGAACATATTCTGTTTAAAACTGCTTCGGCTGACACCTGTGAATTCACCAATGCAAGGAAGATCAACATAAGAGCGCATCCACACAGGGATAACTAAATCAGTTTAAAAACACACTTTTAGATAAACCTGTGCAACTTCATATTTAGCCCAGGCCCCAGGTTCAAGAGAGAAGGGAAATCTAGAAAATACAGAATAAGCAAGCAGATTTGTTTCTGAACAGAATGCTTCCAGTCAGTTTAAGTCTTTATCTGGGCATCTCAGTGGTTTCCCTGTCCCACCCCAGATGCCTTAACTCTGGGGGCAGGGGGAAATATGAAATGTTAAAGTTACTGCTGAAATCTAGGAAACGTCAGTCCAATACCTGTGCAAATCACCCAGGACAAGGAGTGCTACAAAAGTGTGTCCAACAACGTTAACAGTCACATTGCATTTTCTATATACCTTCTGGTATAAATTAGGTCAAACAATAATATACTGGGCTAAGATTTGCAAGAGTGACCATTGATTTCAGGTACCTCTTATAGGACCTGATATTCAAAGTGCTGAGCATTTACCCTCTGAAAAATTAGGTCCCTTTAGAGCATCGAGTTGGGCACCCAAAAATTGAGGCACTCAAAGTCACAAGTCACTTTTGAAAAACCTTCATCTGAAGCTACACACTAGTGTCCAAATTTGTATTTTTATATTATACATGCATTTGGTAGCCAAAGAGGGTAACTTTTTAAAATTGTTACATCATAGGTCACTCCCTCCTGGGAACAGCGGATACGATCTTTAAAATCCTGGTTACATTGATTGGAGAAACATATAGCCAACTTTGTGCGTGCTCACCTCAAAGGGCACGTGGGTATCAGTCAGAGGAAGAATTTAGCAAAAAGGCAGGTCAGACAGGCGAATCAAATACTGAACAATAAAATTTACAACGACAACTAGGTTGTGGAGCCTTTGTTCTCAATAACAGCCCCAAGTTAGATGTGTCAGTCAGTAAACACACCCAACACTGTAAGTGCAGGTAAGCAACAAGTATATACTCGTTCATAAGCCGATTTCCCCCCACCAGTTGCTGTCCCGGCCCGTCAGGGTAAGCAGCTGGCGTGCTGGGACACTTTGTTTTCTTAGGTTTACCTCCGTGCCTGCGGACACTCGAGGTAAACAAACCATCTTGGCCCACCAGTGGCTTATCCTGATGGCCCAGGAGCCAAAGTTTGCTGACCCCTGAATTATAGGGTCGGCTTATGAATGGGTCATAAAAATTTTCCATTTTTACTTATCCATCTTGTGGGGAGTTGGCTTATAAACGAACCGGCTTATGATTGATTATATACACATACGGTAACTACATTAACCATGTCAAGATTGGATCGTTTGTTTGTCCTGAGTTGCTGGACAATGAAGAGTTTACTAGCCTGCACCTAGAACTTCTAAATATTATTTTTTATATCATGAGACTCATAGTAGAAAGGCATTCCATCAGTTTCCTGGGCTCAAGTTTTGGTACAGGCACATTTCAAGTTTTTTGAGAGGACAAGGTACTTGTCAATCTTGGGAGTTACTTCAACTGAGTGCTAAAGTGATGCTCCCACACTGTTCTAGTAGGACTGGATTCTGTATTCCTACATCCTAAATGAAGTTATATGGGATAGTGTTATTTATGCAAAACTAATATAAATATCCTCAAACAGTTCTTTTTAAAACTGATCACAAATTAACCCAATTTAAGGGGTGTTTTGGGGAACAGGAATGACAATTTGTATGCCAGCTGGAATGTGCATAATTACATGCTGTAGGAAATCAGAGTTTATAAAGGAAACTCCAAATGACCCTTGAGTATGGCACTAAAGGATGCCATTACACTGATGCTGAACATATTGTAGGTATATCAGTGTGGAAGGATTTCCTCACAGAGTTGTAAATTTTCTCACTGCATCACAGTGGCCCAAGTGTAGAAAGTCTCTGAAATGGGTCATTTGTATCTTAGGAAAGACTGATTTAAGCTTTTAACCATCTGGATTTGAAATGCTTAATCTCACGCAACAGATGGGCTATTCTTAGGCAAAGGGCGTGCACGCAGCCTACATGCCACACATGCTATGCAGCACCCCCTCACTGACCACCCTCCCCCACAAAAATCACTGTGGTACCCTCTTATAGGCCTGCACAGAAGTCCGCTTCCTTACACCGCACAAAAGAATGTCAGCAACACAACTAAGCTTCAGAACTGTATGTGAGGATCGATTTCAGAAATTATTTGGCTAAGTGCCATGTTTTAAATCTGAAATGAATAAAGGGAGGAATGTACTAAGTCTTAATCAACAGCAAAAAAAAACAGGCAACTGTGAGCGTTCCTTCATCATTTATCCTGAACCAGCTCAGTTCTTAATATAGCAAATCCAACCCCACTGATACAGCAAACATGACCCAATCTCCAGGCATTTGGATTGTTCCCTGCTAACAGATGCAGAAACCAGAACAGGCTTCCACTATTCACCTTTGTCTTGCCCTACAGTAAGGGCTAATTTTTCACGGAGACTTCATTTTTAGGCATTCAGACATTTAGAATCTGGTCATAAAATTAACATTTCCAAAAGCAAGTTGTTCTGAGAGTGAAAGCAAATTCCAATGGTGACTTCGTAAGTACTTCCTTAAATGTA